CGCTAAGGCCCTGTACGAGCTGTCGTCGCTCGCTACTCCTCGCCTGCCACAGCCGAGCTTAGCCGCCTCATGCTGCCGTACCTGTTCCCCGATCTGTCCACCTTTACTACAGTCGCCGATCTTATCACCCACCTTCGCACTAGTGATGCTCGCCTGCGTGCCGCCCTTCCCACCGAGTTCTGCGCTAAGAACCCCCTCCACTGTACTGGACACTCCACTTCATAGTCACCCGTCTCCCTGACACCCTCCGCTCAGTTCGAGACCACTTCCTTGCTCGCTGTCCCACTGAGCTCACAGTCGCCCTCCTAGAGGAGCACCTGCTCGCGGCCGAAAAGAGCATTGTAGCTGTCGGTGCTGCTCGTGGCGCTCCTCGCACCCCCATCTTTGAGGGGTGTTCTCCCTCTCCCCTCGCTCCCTCCTACGCTGCTGCTGCTGCTGTTGACTTCCTTGGTGCTGAGTCTGTTGGCGCTGCTTCTACTCCTGGTGGGAGGCGCCGCACCGGCAAGGGCAAGGGGGGCAAAAGTGGTGGTGGTGGCGCTGGGGGGGGAGGAGGTGGGGGAGGTGGGGGGGGAGGCGGTGCTGGAGGGAGCGGTGGCGGGAGCGCTGGTGGGAGTGGGGTCGGTGGTGGAGACGGGGGCGGCGGAGGAAGCAGTGGCAGTAGTGGCGGCGGCGGCGGCGGTGGCGGCGGTGGCGGTGGTGGCGGTGGTGGCGCGGTCGGCGGTCGGAGCGGTGGTAGTGGTGGCGGCGGAGGTCGGAGTGGAGGCACTGGCTCGGGCCAGAGCTCCCAGCAGCAGCAGCGTCCCCAGACGACCCAGCAGCTTCGTGAGTGGCTTACTCAGCGTGGGACGTCGGGGGCCAGTGGCCGCTGTTCTTATGTCATTCGCACAGGTGACCGCAAGGGACAGACGTGTGGGAGGTTCCACACCCCGTACCGCTGCTTCTCCCGCCTTGACGACGCTTGGCGTGAGGAGATGGGTGCGGATGTTGAGCGCCCCCGCTGGGCTGAGCTCATGAGGGCTGGTGTTGATGTCTTTGCTCTTGACTATGATGCTATTATTGCTGCCATGTATGCATTGACTGTTAGTGCCGAGGGAGACTGTTACCTGTGTGTGCCGCCTGACCCAGGTATAGAGCCTGCTGCCCTGGGTACTAGTGAGTCTGCTCTCTCTGGTATGGTGCCCCCTGTACTTGCCCCCCCCAGTGCTGTCCCGGCTGGTTTCGAGTCTGCTCTCTCAGGTACAGCACCCACACAGACTCCTCTCTCAGGTACCGCACCGACTGAGGCCTGTCACACCTTCACCCTTGACTCAGGTGCTTCCCGTTGCTTCTTTCGTGACAGTACTGAGCTCACACCGCTTCCTGCACCGGTCCCAGTCTCCTTGGCTGACCCCTCTGGGGGCCCAGTCCTTGCCCAGTCCACCACTGTCCTCCCTTGTCCGGCGTCTGGCTCGTTGTCGGGTTTCCACCTCCCCTCGTTCTCGACGAACCTGGTGAGCAACGCTGTCCTCCAGGATCAGTGGGTTGACACCTTTACCCCTGGCGGACAGCGTGTGGCGATCTGCACGTGCTCCAGGACCGGCCGTCACCTGGCTACGTTCACCCGTCGGCCGGGGTCGAGTCTCTACACACTGACCACTGCGTCTCCCCAGGTAGCTGCTGTCGGTCAGGTGTCTGCGTCAGGTCTGGTGGCCCACGCCTGTGAGTGTCGTTCCCTGTCGCACCAGACTCTTCTCTGGCACCACCGCCTGGGTCACCCCTCCTTGCCACGCCTTCGTGGCATGCACCGTCGCCTCCTTGTGTCCGGTCTTCCCAGGTCCCTCCCTCCCCTCCCTGCCTCGCCTGCGCCGCCTTGCCTTCCTTGCGTCGAGGGGCGGCAGCGCGCCGCTCCTCACTCCTCCTCGTTCCCCCCGACAGAGGCTCCTCTGCAGACCCTCCACCTGGACGTGTGGGGCCCAGCCCGCGTTCGTGGTCAGGGCGGTGAGCGGTATTTTTTGCTGGTTGTCGACGACTACTCGCGTTACACCACGGTCTTCCCCTTGCGCACCAAGGGTGAGGTCCCTGCTGTTCTGATCCCTTGGATCCGCACGGTTCGTCTCCAGCTCCGCCGCCGTTTCCGGACGGATCTTCCTGTCCTGCGTCTGCACTCTGACAGAGGTGGTGAGTTTTCCTCCGACCTCTTGAGGACCTTCTGTCAGGCGGAGGGCATCGAGCAGACCTTCACGCTTCCGGACTCCCCACAGCAGAATGGGGTTGCTGAGCGTCGCATTGGCCTGGTCATGGAGGTCGCTCGTACCTCCTTGGTCCACGCGGCGGCTCCCCATTTTCTGTGGCCGTTTGCTGTCCGGTACGCCGCGCATCAGCTCAACCTCTGGCCCCGTGTCTCCTTGCCGGAGACCTCGCCCACACTGCGTTGGACGGGGGAGGTTGGCGATGCGTCGCGCTTCCGGGTGTGGGGTGCTCGTGCCCTTGTCCGCGATACGTCTGCGGACAAGCTCTCCTCCCGCACGCTTCCCTGTGTCTTCCTTGGCTTTGTCCCTGACGCGCCTGGCTGGCAGTTTTACCACCCCACCTCGCGCCGGGTCTTCGCCTCTCAGGATGTCACCTTTGACGAGTCGGTCCCCTTTTACCGTCTCTTCCCCTACCGCACTGCCCCCCTCCCTCCCCCGCCGCTTTTCCTTGCTCCTGGCCCCCCTCCGGTAGACCCCCTTCCCCCTCAGGGTCCTGCTCCTTCAGGTGTCTCTCAGGTAGACCCTCCTCCCGTCGCTGAGCCTGTCGAGGTCACAGGTGACTCAGGTGCTGCTGCGGGTGGTGCTGCTGGGAGTGCTGAGCCTGGGGGTGCTGAGCCTGGGGGTGCTGAGCCTGCGGGTGCGAGGCCTGGGAGTGCTGGGAGTGCTGGGACTGCGGGTGCTGGGGCTGAGGGTACTGTGCCTGAGAGTTTGCCGCCTGGGGGTGCTGAGCCTGGGGGTGCTGCGACTGGGGGTGCTGAGCCTGCGGGTACTGAGACTGCGGGTGCCGGTACTGAGCCTGGGGGTGCTGCTACTGAGCCTACGGAGCCTCGGGTTACTGTGTCTGGGGGTGCTCCGGTTCGGGGTGCTGAGCAGTCTCTCACACCGCAGCAGCTTCGTGACTGGTACGTCCGACGCTTTCGCCGTCCTAGTGGCTCGGCTGGAGTTTGGGGTGCTGGAGTTGCTCGTCCTGGGGGTGCTCGTACTGGGGGTACTGGAGCTGCCGGGACTGGCTGTTCTGGGAGCACTGCGACTGGAGCTGCTGGAGCTGGGGACTCTGGCGTTGGCGGTGCTAGCGGAGTTGGAGCTCCCGACTCTGGGGGTGGCGCTGCTGCTGGTGCTGCGGACCCACCTGGTGGAGCTGCTGCTGGTACTGAGGAGTCGGACGGGTGGAGAGTGCTGCTGGAGCTGGGGACCCGGCCAGTGGAGCTGCTGCTGGTGCTGTGGACCCGGACGCTGGAGCTCCTACTGGTGCTGAGGACCCGGCCGCTGGAGTCCCTTCTGCTTCTGGAGACGCTGCGCGGCCGCGACCGTACTTCGTACCGCTCCTTCAGCAGGTTCTTGGGCAGACTCCTCCTCCTTGTCCTCCTCCCTCCGTAGAGTGTCCTCCGCCTGTCCAGCCGCAGTCACAGTTACCACCTGCCTCGCCTCTCCCTGCTCCCTCTCCTTATACTGGTCCCACAGGAGGTCTTACAGAGCGTCGTGAGCCTGAGTCTCGTCCTGCGTCGCCTGTTCGTCCTGCTCGCACTGGTAGTCGTGTCCGTCGTGAGCGTCCTCCGCCTGTCCCAGGCACTCACTACATGACTCTGCGTCCCTCTACTGCTCCTCGGCGTGTCCTCTACCGTCTCCTCCTGCGTCCTCTTTGCCTGCCGTTCCGGACCCTGAGTCTGACCGGTATCGCGCTGAGCACCCTACAGTCACGCGTCTCCTTGCTACTGTTGTCACTGACCCCACCTTTGAGTCCTCGGCTGCGTCTGCTCTGGTCGCTGAGTTGGTTGACTTTGCTGCTGCCTGTCGTCTAGACTACGCTGCTAGCCTTGTCGCTGAGTCAGAGTCTGCGTCAGTCTGTCCTCCGTCCGTCGGGGGTGAGTGTGCTCTTGGCACGGACGTCCTTGAGGACAGGCAGGAGGACTTTGACTCACTTGCGGCTGCTGTACCTCATCTCGTGGCCTGGTTGCTTGCCCCTGAGGGAGACCCGGATGCAGTAGACATCCCCACTCCGCGCACCTACGCAGAGGCGATCTCGGGTCCCTACTCCTCTCAGTGGCAGACAGCCATGGACGCAGAGATGGCATCCTGGAAGTCCACAGGCACCTACGTCGACGAGATTCCCCCTCCTGGGGCGAACATCGTCGATGGCATGTGGATTTTCAGGGTGAAGCGGCCGCCAGGTTCTCCGCCTGTCTTCAAGGCTCGTTACGTTGCTAGAGGCTTCAGTCAGCGTCAGGGGGTCGACTTCTTCCAGACCTTCTCCCCCACCCCGAAGATGACCACTCTTCGGGTTCTGCTGCACGTTGCTGCTCAGCGTGACTACGAGCTTCACTCTCTTGACTTCAGCACAGCGTTCCTGCAGGGCAGCCTGCACGAGGAGATCTGGCTGCGCCGCCCACCTGGCTTTACTGGGTCGTTTCCCCCTGGTACCCAGTGGAGTCTCCGCCGGCCAGTCTACGGTCTCCGCCAGGCGCCACGTGAGTGGCACGACACACTGAGGACTACTCTTGCGGCTCTTGGGTTCGCGCCGTCTACTGCTGACCCGTCGCTGTTTCTGCGCACAGACACGTCGCTGCCGCCGTTCTACATCCTCGTGTACGTCGACGACTTGGTCTTTGCTACTGCTGACACTGAGGCACTCGCTCGTGTGAAGAGACACACCTGCACTGACCTGGGTGAACTGCGTAGCTACCTTGGCTTGCAGATCACCCGGGACAGAGCTCGCCGCACCATCACCCTGACTCAGTCACACATGGTGCAGCAGGTCCTTCAGCGCTTCGGCTTCCAGTTCTCCTCACCACAGGCCACACCTCTGGCTACCAGCCACTCGCTCTCAGCTCCACCTTCGGACGAGTCCGTAGAGCCGAATGGCCCGTACCCAGAGCTTGTAGGCTGCCTCATGTACCTGATGACTTGCACGCGACCTGACCTCGCGTACCCTCTTAGCATCCTTGCTCGTTACGTTGCGCCTGGGAGACACAGGCGAGAGCACTGGGAGGCTGCTAAGAGGGTGCTGCGTTACCTGTGCAGTACATCAGGCATGGGGCTGGTGCTTGGAGGACGCGACAGAGTTGTCCTCACTGGTCACTCGGACGCCTCTTGGGTGGACGACCTGGCTACGCAGCGGTCGTCACAGGGTTACACCTTCAGCCTTGGCTCAGGTTCTGTCTCGTGGCGGTCCACCCGCTCTTCCTCTGTTCTCGGCTCTAGTTGTGAGGCTGAGATCTACGCCACAGCCATGGCTGCACAGGAGTTACGCTGGCTCACCTACCTGCTGACTGACTTGGGAGAGCGGCCTAGTTCTCCTCCAGTTCTGTACGGTGACAACAAGGCGGCTCTTGCCTTGTGTCAGGAGCACAGACTGGAGCACAGGACGAAGCACATTGCTCTTCGCTACTTTCTTGCTCGAGAGCTTCAGCAGCGCGGTCAGCTTCGGCTTGTGTACGTGGACTCGAAGGCCAACACTGCTGATATCTTCACCAAGGCGCTCCCGCCTAGTGATCATCAGCGGCACTGTACTTCTTTAGGCCTTGTGTCCACGTTTCCTCACTTGCTCACTGCTTGACATTCTTTGTACTGTACTTTATATATATCTTGTTGCTTGCTTGCTAGGTTTTGATCACTGTGTTGCTTGTCTTGTACTATATCTAGCACTGCATGTGAACTGGCCTTGTGGCCTTTACTTGTGCTCGGAGTGTGGTGACGTTGTGATCCACCCTGGGCGTTGCTTTGCTTTGCTGGACTGGTCTTGTGACCCTTTGTTCTCCCCCACTTTGCCTATGGGGGTGTGTTAAACTGTAGTATGCTTGTAGGCTGTAGTGGGGTAGCCAATATGGGGTACAACCCCAACTAGGGTTTCATATTTGTACCCAAACTTCTGCTAGTTCATCATTCTTGCCTAGTGATTCTGACACAGCCTTGCGAAACCGTTTCGAGCACGTATCCGCCTCGGAGCAAGCTCGCATGAAGCTGCGTGCCTGGTCGCAGATGGCATCTGTCCAAGACTACACAGCGTCGTTCATGAGACTCGCTGACCAAGTGGATGACATGTCGGAAGCAGAGCGGTTGGATAAGTACATCAGCGGCCTCAAGTACGAAATTCAATACGAGGTGCGCAGGGGCCGCCCGACATCATTCCTTGAATTAGTACGGCTGGCAGAATCCACGGACGCATTGATGCAGTACGCGAGAACAGCTTCCAGGGATGGAAACCGTTTTCGTGGCCAGACCCATCGGGCCACTATCAACGCCGTCCATACACCCGACCGCCCTCCTAAGGGACCGTGTTACCGGTGTGGGAAGACGGGTCACTACATGAAAGACTGCCCCGAGAAAACGTCGCCGACAGGGAACGACAGGAAGGAGCAGGGAAATGGGAAAAGTCAGTAATTAGCGGGCCCTTTACTGACTGTGCTCCGTCGCCCGAACACCATCATCCCCACCGAGTCGTGGTTCCGATTCATGCAATCGATCGCACTCGGCCGAATAACGGGGATAATCATGTGGATCACCCTGTGCTGGTCGCTGGCAAGGTGGGAAGATATATTCTGAAAATGTTCGTCGATGGGGGGGCCAGCCATAGCCTCTTCAACTTGGCGAGCGCAAAAAGATGCAAGCTGCAACTTGACAGGTGTCTGCCCGAAATCGACGCACGACTCGTGGATGGGACGCCTCTGGCGATAACGGAAGAAACACGGACGGTGCGGATCGAGTGCGGCGACGATTTCGGCTTCAGCATGAAGTTTCTCGCGACGACCCTGGATGGCCACGACGACGCTGGATGGCTGCGACGTGCTGCTTGGACGTGATTGGCTGCGACGACACAACCCCGTCATCGACTGGACAACGGGATCGTGCTGCGTCAGCAAGCACGAGGGGCTAATTAAGCTGCCTGCATGGACACCTGACTACATCCAAGCCCCGTGCATCAAAGCTATCACTATCGCTCACCACTTCAACAGGGGCGCGCAGCTGTTCGCTGTCTGCTTACGCGAGTTGGCAGTCGACACCGACGGAAAGGACATCGAGAAGCTGTGTGCAGCTGTACCTCCAGATTTAGCGGAGCTGATTCGCCAGTACCCCGACATCTTTCCGGACGATCTGCCACCTGGACTGCCACCCGAGAGACCCGAAGACCATAAAATACAGCTGAAGCCTGGCGCGCAACCAACTGTTCGGACACAGTGGCGGTTGACCCAGCCGGAACTTGAGGAGCTGCGCCGACAATTGATGCACTGTTGGAGAAAGGCTTCATTCGGCCGAGCACCTCCCCGTTCGCGGCACTGACCCTGTTCACTCCGAGAAAGGACGGCGGGCTTCGCATGTGCATCGATTATTGCGCATTGAACCGGGTGACCATCAAATCTCGCTACCCAATCCCACGCACCGACGACCTTCTCGACCAACTTCGCGGCGCTCGCTACTTCTCGAAAATCGACTTACGTGGCGGTTACCACCAGATTCGGGTCTTCGCCGACGACTGTCACAAGACCGCGTTTCGCACACGCTACGGGAGTTACGAATTCAAGGTAATGCCTTTCGGCCTCACGAACGCGCCTTCGACATTTCAACTGACCATGAACAGGGTTTTTCGGGATCTTCTAGACCGATGTGTCATCGTCTATTTGGACGATATCCTGATTTTTAGCAAGACACGGGAGCAGCATCTCCGCGACCTGGACGCAGTGTTTAAGCGGTTGCAGGAGAACCGCCTCATCACCAAGGGCTCTAAAGCAGGAGTTGGAGTTTCTAGGGCACGTCATTGTTGGTGCAACCTACGGCGTGCACTCGGCTTGTTGTCCGTGTGCGTGTGCGTGCATGCGTGTGTGCATGGAGTGGTATGAGTGCATGAAATAAATATATATTTCATGCTTATAATGGTGTGTGAATGATGGGTCATGATGTCAAGTGTGTGTGTCGAGTCAATAGCGAGTTATCGCTAGCCGCGTATTACGCGGTTATTTTGTGTGTCCCGCGCGGTTTCTTTTTTGTCGTGCGCGGTTTCTATTTTGTCGCTTGTCGAACGTTCGGCGTGTCGCAGGTGTGTGCAGCAGACCCATCAAGAACTCAAGGATGAGTTTGTGGTGAAGAACCCGAATCTTGGTTCAAGCTTCAAGTGTTTTCGAAGCTCGCCTATGGGTGTAGGCCCATTGAAGATAGTTACATTACAAAGTGTAGTGTAACATTTCTATGGGTGTAGGCCCTTGTGGAGGGTAGTTTCGAGACCCTTCTTGGTTGGGGACAGTGTGGCACTGTTCCACATCACTGTACCTCGGCTCTTGGGGTTTGTAGGAGCTGGGAGTCATTCCCAACTCGTAACTCTTCCTAGTTGCTTCGTACTTGTGTGTTCTAAGACTATGTTGCTGCCATAGTGCCGTTCGTTCAATCTGACACTGTGTCGTCAATTCTTGATGAAATCGTGCGATCTAAATTGCCTATTGTAGAGGACGTCAAGACGCTCCAGATCCAAGTTGATTGTGGTCATTTGGAGCTCTGACTAGATCGCTGTAAACGTTTGAAGCCGCTGTGCAGAAATCTGACTGCGCACTCTATCCTTCGTTTTAGGCACATTGAAGCCTACTGTGACTATAACAAGTGGTATCAGAGCCCCTTGGAGCAGCTACGACGATGGCTGGACCTGAAGAGAGGGGTGGCAGAGGTGCTGGAGGCAATGGAGAAGCCCAAGCACAAGGCCAAGCCCGTGATTCAGCCGTTGCACCGGTGCAACCTACTCTTGGGCCTTCAAGGGATGAGCCAAGAGTGTTCGGGCTTGATAAGTTCAACGGCGACAACTTTGCTGAATGGTCCTTCAGGATGGAGAATGTGTTCGACCATTATGACCTGCTGGAGGTGATGGAAGGAACGGAGAAGCGTCCCGAGAACGACCCGGAGAAAAGCGCGTGGGTGCGGAAGAGCGCACAAGGCTACCTCCTACTTGGGCAACCATTAAAAAGCAACCAGATCCGTCACATCAAGCCTTTCCAGCGTGATCCAGAGAAGGGACCAAAGGCATGGGCTGCTCTCAAGGGTGTACACGCTCCTGCAACAGCGGCGGTAGCTGTGGTGTTGGAACGGCAAATGGCGACACTACGAATTGAGGAAGATGAACCCGTGGAAGACGGGGTGCAGAAATTCTTCGACTTGTTGACGCGGCTTGAAGGAGCTGATTTGAACTACAGTGAGCTCCAGAAGAAGACCAAGTTGCTGGCCCTACTCCCCGAGTCGTGGTCCTCGCTCATCATCAACTTCAACCGTGTTCTGCCCCATCTCTCACTTGAAGACGTGAAGCGCGCGATCCTACAAGAGGACTTCCGCCGCCGTGAGTTGGCGAGTGCGGATGGCGCTGGGGCAGCGAGCGTCGGCCGTGGATATGGCCGAGGAAGAGGCAGAGGACGAGGGGGAGGAAGATTTGGTGGCAGCAACTTCGGTGGAGGTCGCGGGAGTGGCGGTTATGGCGGCAACGACAAGAGCTACGGTAGCGGTCGCGGCCGATTCGACGCATGTGGCGCCACAAGAGCGGACACATGTGGCGCGATTGCTACAAGCTCCCTGAAGGATGGACCCCTGCTCAAGGCCAAGAGGGTGGAGGAGCAGGAGGAGGGAGAGTCAGAGGCCGTGGAGGCCGTGGTGGTCGCGGAGGTGGAGCCGCGAACATGAAGAACGAAGATAACGGGAAGGACCCGAGCGACGATCGGTACCCGGGTCTATTCTACTTTGTGTCGACGCAAGTACCAGCTGGTCCAGAGAAGGATGAAGACCTTGAGGAGCCAGCAGCTGTGGGGAAGGTGACCCTACACCCCCTGGACTTTTGGGTGATCGATAGTGGCGCTACCTATAGCATGACACCTCGCCCCGACTTGCTCACCGAACTCGAGCCGTCACCGGTGAAGCATGTCACATCGGCTTTGGGGCAGCGAGCAGAGGTGAAAGGCATGGGCAAGGCCATATTCAAGGGTGCTGATGGGAAGATCGTGGGTCTCAAGAACGTGCTTTGGGTGCCCAGCCTTGCTGCGAACCTGATTTCCGTGCGGCGGTTGGCAAAGGCCGGCATGGACACGAACTCAAAGGGAGCCAAGACCTACACCGCGAGGATTGGCGACCGGATTCTTTGGGACCTTCATGAGGATAGGGATGTCTACAACGAGATGTGGCAGATCCCTGTGGTCCCCATGCCTAAGGAGAGGCAAGTGGCAGCAAGCGTCAGCACCAAGGACGAAGCGGTTGGTAGCGGCGATGGCGCGAACGGTCTCGCTAAGGAGAACGAGCCCAAGAAGAGAAAACCTAGCGGGACCAGCAAGCTGTGTGACCATAAGGAGAGTGGTGCAGCAGCCAAGGAGCAGCACAAGGGTGAGGAGAACCCCGAGGCAGCAGCGAAGGAGGACTACGGAGAGAGTGTGTGGGGCGCTATTGCGAGCGCGGCATTCTCCAATCCGACTTCGGCTACGGGGGAGTGTGATTGGTTGACTTTGCATCGGCGAATGGGGCATGTGGCCCTACCCATCTTGCAGCAGCTAGTGAAGAACCAGATGGTTGCTGGCATACGTGTGAAGGGGGAGCCCGATGAGG